TATTAATATTAAGCAACATGCCAAATTCTAATCTATCGTTGCACATGGATTGATATTTGGCAGGCTCTCATATATGTGGTATAATGTGCCCAAGGGTAAGCTGATAAATGTGCCCAGAGCTAAGCTAGTATATATGCCCACGAGTAAGCTGATAAATGTGCCTAAAGCTAAACTAGTAAATGCTTCCAATGGTAAGCTATTAAATGTATCAACGGCTAAGCTATTAAATGTACCCAAGGTTAAGCTAGTAAACGTACCAAAGGTTAGGCTAGCAAATGTGCCCAAGGGTAAGCTGGTAAATGTGCCCAAGGGTAAACTGGTAAATGTGCCCAAGGGTAAACTGGTAAACGTACCAAAGGTTAAGCTAGTAAATGTGCCCAAGTTTAAGCTAGTAAATATGCCCAAGGGTAAGTTAGTAAATGTATCCAAGGTTAAGCTAGTAAATGTGCCCAAGGTTAAGCTTGTAAATATGCCCAAGGGTAAACTGGTGAACGTACCCAAGGTTAAGCTAGTAAATGTGGCCAACGTTAAGCTTGTAAATGTGCCCAAGGGTAAGTTAGTAACTGTGCCCAAGGTTAAGCTAGTAAATGTGCCCAAGGTTAAGCTTGTAAATGTGCCCAAGGGTAAACTGGTAAACGTACCCAAGTTTAAGCTAGTAAATGTGCCCAAGGCTAAGCTTGTAAATGTGCCCAAGGGTAAACTGGTAAATGTGCCCAAGGTTTATCTAGTAAATGTGCCCAAGGGTAACTGGTAAACGTACCAAAGGTTAAGCGAGAAAATGTGCCCAAGGTTAACCTAGTAAATGTGCCCAAGGGCAAACTGGTAAACGTACCAAAGATTAAGCTAGTAAATGTGCCCAAGGTTAAGCTAGTAAATGTGCCCAAGGGTAAGCTAGTAAATGTGCCCAAGGATAAGCTAGTAAATGTGCCCAAGGGGAAGCTAGTAAATGTGCCCAAGGGGAAGCTAGTAAATGTGCCCAAGGATAAGCTAGTAAATGTGCCCAAGGGGAAGCTAGTAAATGTGCCCAAGGGGAAGCTAGTAAATGTGCCCAAGGGTAAGCTTGTAAATGTGCCCAAGGATAAGCTAGTAAATGTGCCCAAGGGGAAGCTAGTAAATGTGCCCAAGGGGAAGCTAGTAAATGTGCCCAAGGATAAGCTAGTAAATGTGCCCAAGGGGAAGCTAGTTAATGTGCCCAAGGGGAAGCTAGTAAATGTGCCCAAGGATAAGCTAGTAAATGTGCCCAAGGGGAAGCTAGTAAATGTGCCCAAGGGGAAGCTAGTAAATGTGCCCAAGGGGAAGCTTGTAAACGAACCCGAAAGACAACCTGCCACAGTTTAGAAGATCCGCCGTAGTTCTGAATGTTACATGAACTCGTTTCATGTTTCGTCCAAGAGATTACACTCGCGGCTTATAATAACAAAGAATACATCTCTTAAATGCCCTCATTGTAGACAAATGGTTTACCATCTGCTAAAATGTTAAATATTCATAATTTGTCACCTATTAACAAAGAGTTAGCACTTTTTTTTACGCCGCAGGGAAGGTGGGATGGCATGTGGTTGCAGCATAAAATCATACTCACTAACCGTTAACCATGCAAAAATGTTATTGGTGGTTCAAGATGTACACTTGCATGCATGCAGTTGGAAGGATGACGCAAATAACGCTTGAAAGTTTGTGTTAGTTTGTGTACCCATGGCTCTTGATATAACCTTGAATGAAGTGAGTGAGTTGGTTTAACGCTGCTTTGAATTCCAGTTATATCACAGCATGTCAGCTTGATGTGGATGTAACCCCGAAACGATACAGCAGTGATACAGACATTTACCACTTTGGTGAAACCCGCCGCCAAAAGTAGATAATGTTTTGTGTCTATCACGGAACCGGACTAAAACAGTCTTTGTCTTTTGAGTTACAAGTGACACTTTCAGATTTTGAATATAAACTTAACCAACATGTGAAGTCCTCAATATGGTTCAAGGGCCTACAACGAATCGTCGCAGTAACCAGACACTGCTACTTAAATATTCGCTCCTATTCCAACATCCCCCGAACATCAAATGAGGAATAATTCCACTAAACCGATTAAGATTAAAATATTTGTGGATATCGACCTATGACGCACACGCCTACCTTGTATTCTTTCTAGTGAATTATTGCCCGTGTCTGAAATTCATTCTCAAAAGTCATTAGCGCAATTTGTTGCTGTAAACTATACAACGTGAAGCATTCTGCCTGACTGTTTGTTATTGAACAATATCACGATATGAGAGAATGTTTCTATTGTCGCTATCAGGGAAGGTCATTGAGCTTATACGAGAACCGTGGGAATATGGCCGCACCGGAGCACGTTGACATGTACTGGTGTTGAAGGATAAACGCGAGTGTCCATACAAATTCATTTTTTTTATCAAATAATTCTTTTTTGGATATCTAATAAATCGATTTTGTGATATCAAGAATTTTATTGTGATATCCTAAAATGATACATTTTTAATATCAATAGATTGAATTTGTGATATCATTAATTCCCCTTTCCACAATAACAGCTCCTTTGACTTTACGTCGATCTTTACGTATATTCACTGCTGCACTGAATTGCGTGAAAATGACGGCAATTTGGAATGTACAGGACATGGTTTCTGTAGCTCAAGCTGCCATTAATTGCGAGAGGAACCATTCAATACAACGTTTACACTCAAGACCCGGATACCTCTTCAGACTAACAACGGTCATGAATTTTTGGCTCAATCCTTTTTTCAGAGCAAGGCATATACTCATCCGGGTATCTATCACCACGGTCCTTTAACAACAAGCATTAAACACTGCCAGTAAGGTTTTCGGTTCGTTTCTTTGTCACACACACACACACACACTCACTCACTCACTCACTCACTCACTCACTCACTCACTCACTCACTCACTCACTCACTCACTCACTCACTCACTCACTCACAATTTAACAATTTTTACCTTTAAATAAAACAAATGATGTTTTCATCAGTAAATTCAGCAGTCCTTCGCCGGTATTTCTAATCCAACTGACCAGTCTATTCCATATTCTATTTACAATAGTTCAATAGTAAAATGCGTTTAACTATTTCAGGTACAATATTGCAAAATGAACGACAGCTGGAATCCGATTGTGTAAAGGAAGTTGTTTGATGTAATGATATAATGAATGTTTTGAACTGGAGCCACTTCATACTTTTACTTTTGTCCACCTATTTGCCAGGTAGAAGTTCTCCAGCACAGAGACGTCAAATGAATGAAAGGGCATAGGATATGTTATTAAATAGTATTTATCTTTTTTACAATATTTAAGTACGGCAAGAGAATATATGGATTTCAACTTATTTATTATGAGGAAAACAACGTTTCGGAGTATATGCTTACTCCTTCATCACCACACACGCACGCACACACTCAAAATTCGACTTTTAGATATCACACAATTATTTACTGATAACATAAATTCGAATTTTAGATATAATATAATGATTTGTTGATATAAATTCGATTTTTAGATATAAAATGATTTATTGATATCACAAATTTGATTTTCAGATATAAAAGGATTAATGATATCAGCAATTTTAACTTTAGATATCATAATATGATTTTTGATATCACAAATTCGAATTTTAGATATCATAAAATGATTTATTGAGATCATAAATTCGATCTTTAGATAACATAAACTGATTTATAGTTATAAATTCGATTTAAGATATCACAAAATGGTTTGTTGATATCACAAATTCGATGTTGGACATCATAAAATGATTTATTGATATAAAAAAAATAGCCATAGAATTTATGGAATTTTTGATAATCTGCTGTGTGTTTGAATATAGAAATTGACATTCATCGTGTCGTGTAACACATATTCTTCCTATAAGATGCTTTGTGAATGTAACACTCTGCAGGATTTACATATTTCCTTTGGAGATGTCTATGGCTGTTTACAGCTTATTATATGGCGTGTAGAGATAATATTTTTTACCTTCAAATCCAAAAATGATGTTTTCATTGGTAATTCTTTGGAGAATCGTGAAATATTCATTATGGCAATTTTATGTAAACAGGTTAGATATGTTTATTTTATCGTTTTGTTTGCAGAACATTGATGTCTAAAGGTTGCATCAGGTGGGGCGTTTACAGGGGCCGACCATTTGAGATTCATGGGTGGCGGCGTGCGATGGTCTGTTTCGGTTTTGGTGTAAGGTGGATTCGGAGGTACAGTGGCATGTGTACATTTCAACGCCGTGTTTTGACATAATACCGGACGATTCTTTTTCGCCTATTAAAACAAGAACGTTTCGTATCGAATGTCTCACGTTATATATGACCACATATTTCTAATATATCTGTCATTATGTTGTTATGATATTAGGTAGTATTTTGGTCGCTCACAGTTTACAAAAAGCTGTCAAATATAATATTTCGTCGCACTGCACTTTATGTATTTACGATAAAACGTGGCTACATTTTAGAGTTTTTTTCGTTAGCAAAACAGGAACTTGGACAACATTTAGCACTTTTTGCTTTTCAAATTAGTCTTTAATTTTACATCATGGGGTCGAAAATTCAATAGTCAGAGGTTGGCGCAGTGCCACCTGACGGCAATTCTCGCACACCGTTCATTTTTCAAAACTCGGCACCAAAGTAGTGAATCAAAAGCTTTTGATCAGTGAACTCGCTAGATCTGAGTTGCATGCAACTTGACGCCGTGTGAATGCCGAGTGAATCTATTTCATACAACAAGTTGTACCAAATAGTTGTACCGTGCCAATGCCCCTTTACACAATACATAATCTATAAGACTATAATGTCACTACGTACAGTAGGTATAGAAGGCAAGACTGACATTATACAGTCACCATAGCTAAAACAGCTCGGACTATACAATGTTTGTCGTTACTCGGACACTGGGTAAGTATTTTGTAGTTATTAACCCCGTGTCAAAACCTACTATAACATGTCAAAAAATAGTTTGTAGGAGTTAGATTGTTGATGGGCCTGTCCCGCCTATACTACTGCTTGTTGACCATGCTCACCGTTACTGGTTTCAACGCGGCTGTCTTCTGTGTGGTTCTGAAAGTGTTGGACAGCCACCAAGTCAGTGGCTCAGGTAATATGATTATTGTTCATTAGAATCAGTACCTTCCGTTTATACGGAGAAACAAAGCTTACTGAAACAAATGTTGACTGACGACCTGACATGTTGGTTGAATGAATGTGGCCCTGTGTTCATTTCATTCTTCAGTAACATGTGAAGGGCCATCTGCAATTCAGTGGAAATATAGGGTAGTGTATGAACAGATTTAGTGCAAAACACAAGCAAGATGTAGGGTAATAGTTGCTCAAACTGTGTGTGATGAGTTGCTCTGAACTGAAGACATATTATGCAGTTGCTTAAGGGTAGTATTCTACAGTATACCATGACGTCATAAACATTAACCTATAAATATCTAATGTCAATATACTGTTACATATGTTCTCAGGGCATAAACTATGAGTGATCTTTCTGTTTGCGTACATATCCACAGTTTCACAAAAGAACCAACATTCGCATCACGCACCCACACCGCACTCACACAAAGCATCCGCATCCTTATCACGAACAAAGACCCGTTTCACGAACCAACACCCGCATCACGAACCAACACCCGCATCACGAACCAACACCCGCATCACGAACCAACACCCGCATCACGAACCAACACCCGCATCACGAACCAACACCCGCATCACGAACCAACACCCGCATCACGAACCAACACCCGCATCACGAACCAACACCCGCATCACGAACCAACACCCGCATCACGAACCAACACCCGCATCATGAACAAACACCCGCATCACGCACCCACACCGCACTCACACAAAGCATCCGCACCCTCATCACGAACAAACACACGCATCACGAACCAACACCCGCATCACGCACCCACACCCGCATCACGAACCAACACCCGCATCACGAACAAACACCCGCATCACGCACCCACACCGCACTCACACAAAGCATCCGCACCCTCATCACGAACAAACACCCGCATCACGAACCAACACACGCATCACGAACCAACACCCGCATCACGCACCCACACCCGCATCACGAACCAACACCCGCATCACGAACAAACACCGCACTCACACAAAGCATCCGCACAAGCAAGATGTAGGGTAATAGTTGCTCAAACTGTGTGTGATGAGTTGCTCTGAACTGAAGACATATTATGCAGTTGCTTAAGGGTAGTATTCAACATTATACCATGACGTCAAAAACATTAACCTATAAATATCTAATGTCAATATACTGTTACATATGTTCTCAGGGCATAAACTATGAGTGATCTTTCTGTTTGCGTACATATCCACAGTTTCACAAAAGAACCAACATTCGCATCACGCACCCACACCCGCATCACGAACCAATACCCGCATCACGAACAAAGACCCGCATCACGAACCAACACCCGCATCACGAACCAACACCCGCATCACGAACAAACACCAGCATCACGAACCAACACCCGCATCATGAACAAAGACCCGCATCACGAACAAACACCAGCATCACGAACAAACACCCGCATCATGAACAAACACCAGCATCACGAACAAAGACCCGCATCACGAACCAACACCCGCATCACGAACCAACACCCGCATCACGAACCAACACCCGCATCACGAACCAACACCCGCATCACGAACAAACACCAGCATCACGAACAAAGACCCGCATCACGAACCAACACCCGCATCACGAACCAACACCCGCATCACGAACCAACACCCGCATCACGAACAAAGACCCGCATCACGAACAAAGACCCGCATCACGAACAAAGACCCGCATCACGAACAAAGACCCGCATCACGAACAAAGACCCGCATCACGAAAAAAGACCCGCATCATGAACAAACACCAGCATCACGAACAAAGACCCGCATCAAGAACAAAGACCCGCATCACGCACCCACACCGCACTCACACAAAGCATCCGCACCCTCATCACGAGCAAACACCCGCATCACGAACCAACACACGCATCACGAACCAACACCCGCATCACGCACCCACACCGCACTCCCAAAAAGCATTCGCACCCTCATCACGAACAAACACCCGCATCACGAACCAACACCCGCATCACAAACCAACACCCGCATCACAAACCAACACCCGCATCAGCATCACGAACTCAAACTCACACCAGCACTTGCACCCGCACTTCTAATTTCACCACCATGGGGATATACGACTAAAGAGAATCGGGTGGTACAGTGCTGGTAGCTGACATCGTGCTCCGATGACGTAGATCGCTGCTCATGCTATCAGTCACTGGTTTCCTTGTCAGGACTCGATTATGTACAGAAAGCCGATAAATCAAATTCTCTCATACTCTCGTGCCACTCCTGATTCATGTCAAACCGATACTTGCCGACGGTATACGATCACTCAGCCATTACTGTTCATAAACAGGAGACATTGTGGACACCCAATACCCTTATTTCTGGATTCGTACGGCAAGCATGTGTGACAGCTCCAGCTCCGGTCTAACCGGTATTTTAGTTATGTCATGGCGTTTCAGTTTTAAGATAAAAATGCCCTAAGTTTTGTTTGAATTAAGTAATTTAAAATACCCTGAACCTTTTATGGTACTTCCTATCTTTCAGCTACTCACGACATCGCGTGTAGCGACAGGCATGCACGCCTTTGTGCCACGCATCTCGACCGAGGCCACTGTGAGCAAGACAGGTGGAACAGTTATTTGAAGAACATCTGCAAAAAGACTTGCAACTTTTGTAAGTATTAGATCGCAGTATGTATGGCATGAGCAAGTCACTGTATGTTTATGCTGAGTTGGCGCAAAGAAACAGTAATCTGAGAAAGACAAACCAATGACATACGCAACTATCCGCGGGGCACGGTGTCCCACAGTCTACAGACTGACCTATCTAGACAGGTTAATGGGTATCTGTTCCACCCCGGGATAACTGCGAATAGTGATATACTTTCTATTATAAATGAAACATGATCTAAGAAAATCTTCTTAAGAAAACATTATTACAAGCCGCCGCGACATGTCTGGAATACTGCTGACTGCCATGTAAAATATGAAACCAGCACCAATCATGTCAATTGTGATGCAGTAAGATACGATGCACTGTGATGCAGTGTGGTATGATGCACTGTGATGCAGTATGGTATGATGCACTGTGATGCAGTGTGGTATGATGCACTGTGATGCAGTGTGGTACGATGCACTGTGATGCAGTATTGTACGGTGCACTGTGATGCAGTATGGTATGATACGCTGTGATGCAGTGTGGTATGATACACTGTGATGCAGTATGGTATGATACCCTGTGATGCAGTATGGTATGATACACTGTGATGCAGTATGGTATGATACACTGTGATGCAGTGTGGTATGATATACTGTGATGTGGTGTGGTATGACACACTGTGAAGGAGTGTGGTATGATACACTGTGATGCAGTATGGTATGATACACTGTGATGCAGTATGGTATGATACACTGTGATGCAGTATGGTATGATGCACTGTGATGCAGTATGATATGATACACTGTGATGCAGTATGGCACGATGCACTGTGATGCAGTATGGTATGATACGCTGTGGGGCGGTGTGGTATGATACACTGTGATGCAGTGTGGTATGATACACTGTGATGCAGTGTGGTATTATACACTGTGATGCAGTGTGGTTGGGTACACTGTGATGCAGTATGGTATGATACACTGTGATGCAGTATGGTATGATACACTGTGATGCGGTGTGGTTGGGTACACTGTGATGCAGTATGGTATGATACACTGTGATGCAGTATGGTATGATACACTGTGATGCAGTATGGTATTATGCACTGTGATGCAGTATGATATGATGCACTGTGATGCAGTATGGCACGATGCACTGTGATGCAGTATGGTATGATACGCTGTGGGGCGGTGTGGTATGATACACTGTGATGCAGTGTGGTATGATACACTGTGATGCAGTATGGTATGATACACTGTGATGCAGTGTGGTATGATACACTGTGATGCAGTATGGTATGATACACTGTGATGCAGTATGGTATGATACACTGTGATGCAGTGTGGTATGATACACTGTGATGCAGTATGGTATGATGCACTGTGATGCAGTATGGTATGATACACTGTGATGCAGTATGGTATGACACACTGTGATGCAGTGTGGTATGATACACTGTGATGCAGTATGGTATGATACACTGTGATGCAGTGTGGTATGATACACTGTGATGCAGTATGGTATGATACACTGTGATGCAGTATGGTATGATACACTGTGATGCAGTATGGTATGATACACTGTGATGCAGTATGGTATGACACACTGTGATGCAGTGTGGTATGATACACTGTGATGCAGTATGGTATGATGCACTGTGATGCAGTATGGTATGATACACTGTGATGCAGTATGGTATGATGCACTGTGATGCAGTATGGTATGATACACTGTGATGCAGTGTGGTATGATACACTGTGATGCAGTATGGTATGATACACTGTGATGCAGTATGGTATGATACACTGTGATGCAGTGTGGTATGATACACTGTGATGCAGTATGGTATGATACACTGTGATGCAGTATGGTATGATGCACTGCTGGATTACATTGATTGTCCAGGTGGCAATGAGGACTGTGTCGACGTTAACAGAGCCCTGTGCGAGGAGAAACAGGAACGTGGCGAGTGTGACCCCTCGCCCTACACCCTCACCATGTGCAAGAAAACATGCGGACTCTGTAAGTTAACATATTCATGTCATCCTCTTTCCAAATAACGTGTATATCATTTTGTTTCACATGGACGTGTATACGATTGTGTTCTATAGTTAAGTCTATTTATTGCGACGGCGTTCATACAATGTTTGGCCCTCACTCTGTGAAGGCCCATACTCCAATGAACTCACACGAAGTGAAAGTCAATTCTCATAATTTTTTATCACAATTTTTCTACCTCAAAGGACGTCGGCCTTACACAAGTTTATTTAGTACGGGTGACTTATTTCATGTTTACACTGACAGCCATACAATAACCAGCTGTATCGCGGAATAAAATAGTTCCTCAAATAGAGAGGTGAAATGTGCGAATGTATGCACAACTTGCTCTTCAGAAACATCTGACACAACAAACGTATTAAAATAATAATATCATTAGATGAGAAAGGTATGTTAAGCACTACCTCGGTAAGTCAGCCGCAATGACAGCGCGTCGTAATACATTTACATCAAGTGCAAGACGTCAGAATGGCCGACACAATAAACGTGACGGGAGAGATTGCGGAAATTGTTAGTGAATCGCACGTTGCCCCACCTGTACGTTTTTATCAGTTTGTTCCACATGTACGTGTTTATCAGTTTGTTACACATATACGTGTTTATCAGTTTGTTCCACCTGAGCGTGTTTATCAGTTTGTTCCACCTGTGCGTGTTTATCAGTTTGTTCTATATTTACGAGTTTATCAGTTTGTTACACATTTACGTGTTTATCAGTTTGTTCCACCTGTGCGTGTTTATCAATTTGTTCCACCTGTGCGTGTTTATCAGTTTGTTCTACCTGTACGTGTTTATCAGTTTGTTTTACCTGTACGTGTTTATGGGTTTGTTCCACTTGTGCGTGTTTATCAGTTTGTTCCACCTGTGCGTGTTTATCAGTTTGTTCCACATGTACGTGTTTATCAGTTTGTTCCACCTGTGCGTGTTTATCAGTTTGTTCCATATTTACGAGTTTATCAGTTTGTTACACATTTACGTGTTTATCAGTTTGTTCCACCTGTGCGTGTTTATCAGTTTGTTCTACATGTACGTGTTTATCAGTTTGTTTTACCTGTACGAATTTATGGGTTTGTTCCACTTGTGCGTGTTTATCAGTTTGTTCCACCTGTGCGTGTTTATCAGTTTGTTCCACATGTATGTGTTTATCGGTTTGTTCCACATGTGCGTGTTTATCAGTTTGTTCCACCTGTACGTGTTTATTAGTTTGTTCTACCTGTACGTGTTTATCAGTTTGTTCCACATGTACGTGTTTATCAGTTTGTTCCACCTGTGCGTGTTTATCAGTTTTTTTCCATATTTACGAGTTTATCAGTTTGTTACACATTTACGTGTTTATCAGTTTGTTCCAACTGTGCGTGTTTATCAGTTTGTTCCACCTGTGCGTGTTTATCAGTTTGTTCTACATGTACGTGTTTATCAGTTTGTTCTACCTGTACGTGTTTATGAGTTTGTTCCACCTGTGCGTGTTTATCAGTTTGTTCCACCTGTGCGTGTTTATCAGTTTGTTCCACATGTACGTGTTTATCAGTTTGTTACACATTTACGAGTTTATCAGTTTGTTCCACTTGTACGTGTTTATCAGTTTGTTCCACATGTACGTGTTTATCAGTTTGTTCCACCTGTACGTGTTTATCAGTTTGTTCCACCTGTGCGTGTTTATCAGTTTGTTCCACATTAAAGAGTTTATCAGTGTGTTCCACCTGTACGTGTTTATCAGTTTGTTCCACATGTACGTGTTTATCAGTTGGTTCCACCTGTACGTGTTTATCAGTTTGTTCCACATGTACGTGTTTATCAGTTTGTTCCACCTGTACGTGTTTATCAGTTTGTTCCACCTGTGCGTGTTTATCAGTTTGTTCCACTTGTACGTGTTTATCAGTTTGTTACACATTTACGTGTTTATCAGTTTGTTACACATTTACGTGTTTATCATAGTGTTCCACATGTACGTGTTTATCAGTTTGTTCCACTTGTACCTGTTTATCAGTTTGTTCCACTTGTACGTGTTTATCAGTTTGTTCCACTTGTACGTGTTTATCAGTTTGTTCCACTTGTACGTGTTTATCATAGTGTTCCATCTGTACGTGTTTATCAGTGTGTTCCACATGTACGTGTTTATCAGTTTGTTCCACTTGTACGTGTTTATCAGTTTGTTCCACTTGTACGTGTTTATCAGTTTGTTCCACTTGTACGTGTTTATCAGTTTGTTCCACTTGTACGTGTTTATCATAGTGTTCCATCTGTACGTGTTTATCGGTTTGTTCCACATGTACGTGTTTATCATAGTGTTCCACCTGTGCGTGTTTATCAGTGTGTTCCACTTGTACGTGTTTATCATAGTGTTCCATCTGTACGTGTTTATCAGTGTGTTCCACATGTACGTGTTTATCATAGTGTTCCATCTGTACGTGTTTATCAGTGTGTTCCACTTGTACGTGTTTATCATAGTGTTCCATCTGTACGTGTTTATCAGTGTGTTCCACATGTACGTGTTTATCATAGTGTTCCACATGTACGTGTTTATCAGTGTGTTCCACATGTACGTGTTTATCATAGTGTTCCACATGTACGTGTTTATCATAGTGTTCCACATGTACGTGTTTATCAGTGTGTTCCACATGTACGTGTTTATCATAGTGTTCCACATGTACGTGTTTATCATAGTGTTCCATCTGTACGTGTTTATCATAGTGTTCCACATGTACGTGTTTATCATAGTGTTCCACATGTACGTGTTTATCATAGTGTTCCATCTGTACGTGTTTATCATAGTGTTCCATCTGTACGTGTTTATCAGTGTGTTCCACATGTACGTGTTTATCATAGTGTTCCACATGTACGTGTTTATCAGTGTGTTCCACATGTACGTGTTTATCATAGTGTTCCACATGTACGTGTTTATCAGTGTGTTCCACTTGTACGTGTTTATCATAGTGTTCCATCTGTACGTGTTTATCAGTGTGTTCCACATGTACGTGTTTATCATAGTGTTCCACATGTACGTGTTTATCAGTGTGTTCCACATGTACGTGTTTATCATAGTGTTCCACATGTACGTGTTTATCATAGTGTTCCACATGTACGTGTTTATCATAGTGTTCCATCTGTACGTGTTTATCAGTGTGTTCCACATGTACGTGTTTATCATAGTGTTCCACATGTACGTGTTTATCAGTGTGTTCCATCTGTACGTGTTTATCATAGTGTTCCATCTGTACGTGTTTATCAGTGTGTTCCACATGTACGTGTTTATCATAGTGTTCCACATGTACGTGTTTATCAGTGTGTTCCACATGTACGTGTTTATCATAGTGTTCCATCTGTACGTGTTTATCAGTGTGTTCCACTTGTACGTGTTTATCATAGTGTTCCATCTGTACGTGTTTATCAGTGTGTTCCACATGTACGTGTTTATCATAGTGTTCCACATGTACGTGTTTATCAGTGTGTTCCACATGTACGTGTTTATCATAGTGTTCCATCTGTACGTGTTTATCATAGTGTTCCACATGTACGTGTTTATCATAGTGTTCCACATGTACGTGTTTATCATAGTGTTCCACATGTACGTGTTTATCATAGTGTTCCACATGTACGTGTTTATCATAGTGTTCCATCTGTACGTGTTTATCAGTGTGTTCCACATGTACGTGTTTATCATAGTGTTCCACATGTACGTGTTTATCAGTGTGTTCCATCTGTACGTGTTTATCATAGTGTTCCATCTGTACGTGTTTATCATAGTGTTCCACATGTACGTGTTTATCATAGTGTTCCACATGTACGTGTTTATCAGTGTGTTCCACATGTACGTGTTTATCATAGTGTTCCATCTGTACGTGTTTATCATAGTGTTCCACATGTACGTGTTTATCATAGTGTTCCACATGTACGTGTTTATCATAGTGTTCCACATGTACGTGTTTATCAGTGTGTTCCACATGTACGTGTTTATCATAGTGTTCCATCTGTACGTGTTTATCATAGTGTTCCACATGTACGTGTTTATCAGTGTGTTCCACATGTACGTGTTTATCAGTATGTCACGTTGGTCCACATTTTCGTGTATGTCAGTGTGTTCCTTTTCCAAATACTCCGACGTTATCTTTCCCTCTCGTCTGTTCCAGGTACTGACAAGAAGGGACGGAAAGGTAGTTGCATATATATGTTTCCTCACTGAATAGCCTCGGGCCAATTAGCAGTCCATGTAAGCAATGGCATTTAGCACCTGCTTAGTCTTCTGGTGTATTTGAATCTTATAGTTAATTACGTTAATCACGCTGAGACATTGCATTAGGTATCAAACTTGAAAATAACAATGTCTCGACCCAGCATGCGGACAAGATCGTGCAACGTTCTCTCTCATTAATTAGGCATGTGAGCATTTGGTGCATTTTCGATGAATGTCGCCTAATGTGGCAGTCTTACATGTTTCTGTGATTAATAGCTTGGGCTTCGTCGGGACTGAAGTGAACGTTTATTCACACTCAGGCCGCTATCACCGGCGTCAGAAGTACAACATTATTTCAACAACATGATACATATAAATATAAATATGGAATAGCTACAAAAACATATTTGCCGAGCTTGCATGCATATTTATACAGATTCACTGGGTTATCAATATATGCCCAATTCAATAAGCGGGAGAGTTACTTGATAGGTTTAAACAATGACATGATGATTTTACAGAATTTGGACAATTTTCTTAATGTTCCTTATCGTGAATTATTGAAAAGAAAATTCCTTTTATGCATGTTGGGTTTGGTGTAGTAGCATCTGTGTAAAAAAAAAAATATTTTTTTTTCCACAGATGAACAAATAAACAAATAATGGAATTCATCACCTATGTCAGATAATTTACAAAGTGGGCATTTCCTTTCGGATAAAGATATTTTTCTCCCTCTCCCAGTTTCAATAGGTAGATTATAGTTTCAGGCCCTAAACTGAAGTAAGACTCGCCAAACGTTTTCCTGCAGTACGTTTTAAAAATATTTGAAATTTAGGCAATCATGGTTTATGATCCTACACACTGTGCCTTTTGAAGACTAAACTCTTGCACTTTCCAACACTGTAGGCTAATGTCATTAATTTTTTCATGGACTAAATGTTTTAGATAAGTAGGAGTTTTTAAAACTTTGTTAAAACCAGATGTAGCTAAGTCCAAGTTCGTCAAAAGTTCGTTTGCAATATATTGAATATATTTATGTTTACACTTTCAAAATGGGTCATCGTTGAATAACAACTTGTAAACAAGAAGGATAATTTAGATGATTTCCCGGAAAGTAATTTTGCCCACTTCCGACGGTTTTTTCAAACTGCTGTAAAAAGTTTACTAAAACAGCTCAGCAGGGTGCATATCTGTAATTTTCGCTTTCGTGAATTTGTAAACTATTTCTTGAGAACAATGCGAAGTGTTCTAATTTCAACGACTACGTACAACGATGTAGGAATTTGCTAAAATAGCACAATGTGTGTATTATTTTTTTGATCGAAACCGATCAGGTTTGGCCACTGTCCTTTACAACACCCCTGAACTATTGCCTTGGTGTCGTGCAGGTGCGCCTAACAAACCCTCCTGTAAGGACACGATCTCGAACTGCAAGAAGATCGCTCAGATGGGATTCTGTGACAAGCTGGGCACAATGAAACATCAATGCAAACAATCTTGCAACATGTGTACGTCATCAATAACCAATTCATATTGAAGTGGGAAAATAGAGCTTAGTTTGTTAAAAAGTCACAACAAGGAGAAGCCTAAAACAGACTGAGAATTACCTAGTCATGTTCATGAATACCTATGTGATAAACTACGCGTGTACAACTGGACAAGACAATTATGATTGTGTGAATGAGTGGGTTTTGTTTGGAGACCAGATATTGTTTTAGCTTCAGCGGCAAAAGCAGATGTCTTTAAAATTAAAACTATGGGTCTATTTTTTTATATTTTGTGGCAGACAATTTCTTTTCTTTCAACAGTCTGAAGCATAATTATTATTCTCACAATTTTTGGTGGACAATGTAATGATTCGATAAAATCAAAGGACTACTCCTACAACATCCCCACTCCCCATACACAGAATACCATTTGGGAAGTCCCTAAAATGCGCCGTATGCTTTTTATCTTGGAAGTGTATAGAATTCTTCCGAATAAGACGTGTTTTGCACATTTGACATATGATAGAAGGATGATGACTGATGATAAATATTTCTGCCATAGGTGATGCCAGGGACTGAGTGAACATTGCCCACGTGAGCTACTTCATCAACAGCCCTTGTATAGGCGTCGGAAATAAAGACCTGTTGATTCAGATATCTTGGTATTTACTTTCGTCTCACAACACACACGCCTTAGTTTAGGCATTTCAAGGTTAGAATTGACCTCTAGCAATCTATGATTGTGGTAATAGGCGACTAAATGGTAAATCGAGGTCGCCTGCGCGTGTTTCACCAAACGGCAGGCATGTGAAGAGTGGCAAGAAATACACGCTAAACATAAAACAGATTCCGTGTCCAATTATAACCAAATACTATAGAATGCCTAACACATAAGCTATACTGGGAACAAAATGGGTTTAGAGAGGCACCATGGAGAGTCTGGTTGGTTGTTTCGTTGTTTAACGCCGCACTCAGCAATATTCTAGCTATATGTCGGGAATAATCATGTCTGGACCAGACAATCCAATGGTTGATATCACGAGCATCGACCCTGGGAACTGGGATTGATGACATGCATAAACCAAGTCAGCGAGCCTGACCACCCGATCCCATTAGTCGCCTCTTACGACAAGCATAGTCACCTTTACGACAAGCAAGGTTTGCTGAAGACCTATTCTACCCCGGATCTTCACGGGTGCCATGACGTGTCTCTGTATTAAAACTGTTTTTTGTTATATTGTTGCTGCACTCATCAATATATCAGATGAACAATCGTCGCCAGCCTAGTTTGACCACACAATCAGTACCTGACATAGGCAGCATTCCACGCCGTCGGGGCAGGATGGCACAAACGAACCACGTCATCGAACCGGATGATTCGTTCCATTTACTCCCCTCGAAAGACAACAGGTTTTTGGGCACCTATACGAACCCGAGGTCGCAGCGGGCAGTATTCAGATTTAGGAATTCAGAATTAAAAAGATGTATGGAGCAAGTGTAGAGGCCATAAAATGTCCGAGTCCCGCGATTGGATTCGAACCACGGACCTTCTGATCTGAGGTCGAACGCCTTGTCCACATGACCAAAAAGGTTAACCCCATCAGCAAGCTGATAAGGTAAGAATGTCATCTGTGGGATGACTCCACGCCCTGCTACACAAGGAACAGTGTTACGTGTTGATTCCAACGTTATAAAGCGAAGGGTAACACGGAAATCGGAACGTACACAACTAAATTGTAAAATCAGTAAAAAGCACATACACTATCAATGGATAATTAAGAAATTATATTGAAACACAAAAAAATAGTTTCACAATGGAAAATGGCACCACAATGGGTAAATAAGTGGCAGCAGAAATAAGTAACAAGCTCTGTAATAAGTGTCAGTGCACCACGACTGTCCAGCACTCAGTGCTTCGGTCTTGAATCCAGGAAACAGTATTGGAATCAGGCAGGAAAGTCGACGCTTTCAGATGGGTATCATGTCCATACTGAACAAGTAGCACAGATAAAGTCGCAAGCCAAGTCGTAGTCTGTCTTACAGACCCTGATACAAATATATCAACTACAGCCCATGCAAGTCTATAATGTTTGGCAAGTCTAGATTACTGCAGTATCTGAAAATGAAGAGAATCACTGGGCTCCCTTTTAATTATATTTTTATTAAGATAACTGAACAATTGTTTTTTTCTGTACGATATGTTCATTTCAGAGACTATATGTTAGTCTGGCCAAGTCGTCTCTCTCTCTTATAGAGGTACAGCTAACCTCCTGGAAACTGCTAGAATGAGTCCCGGAAATTAATCAACTGTAAACAAGCTCCTCACAGCGGAGCGCTAGCTGTCTACACTGGGATAAACGCACGTGACACGCGATCGGGTTTGGACTGTCAACAACGAAGGGCTCTCTCTCTCTCTCTCTCTCTCTCTCTCTCTCTCTCTCTCTCGCTCCTGCTAGTTTCTAGGGCTTCGGTCCTGCCCCACACAGAAGCACATGTTCCACATGTGGTGTCTCCTTAGGCAAGTGACTTTGTTCGTAATGTGCCTCTGTTCACCCAGCAGTTTTATTTAGGATGAGATGGTAATGTGGCTGTTGTATACTCCCCAGGGAGGTGAGAATGAAAATCGAGTGCTCACTGATCCGTGGACCGGGATAATAATATTGCAGCGCTTTGAGCATGCACTTAGTGAATGCAATCTGGCGTATTATAAATGCATTTATTATTATTCAAAGTAAAACAAAAGTATTTCTGTGCAGCAATATGACTGAGACGCGTCTGGTATTGAATTTCGATTCATTACAGTATATGTATACTTTTTTTTGTAGTTTTCTGTTGAAAGATTGGCTCTGCATTCTTATGCAAACCATGTATGTTTATCTCATGCCCATTCCTTGGGGCACGTGTGACCAAATCGTCTAAGGCGCCGCAATTCGTTGTGCAGAGTTGCGTCCCTTGGGCTCGCCAGAAACCTAAGATTGTAGGTTCGCATCCAGGTTCGCCCCGATTATGTTTCTAGGTTTGTCAGCACCATACCCGTGCTCGTGGGTTTCACCGAAGTGGTAAACGTCTGAGACCTGCATCACTTCGGGCTTTCCTCCAACATTAAGCTGGCACGCCGTGATATAACTGGAACACTGTTAAAAGTGACGTTAAACCCAACTCACTCACTCACTCACTCACTCACCCATTGCTATAATAATTTAACGTCCACGTTTTGTAGATCAGTGTGGTTGTTGGCGAGGACGTCGATAGAATCAGTCATCATTAGCAATGAGTTCTATACACTGTAAACAATGCAAACACAAAAAGAAATATGACCGTGTTGTTGTGTTTATTCGCCAGCTTTTTAGTCAGTTTCGTAGTCTGAACAAGTTCTGATGAAGAAATATGTATTGCATAAACAATACTAACATTTGATCCAGTGACTAACAAAGACAATACCTGTTGGCCAAGTCGCCTAAGGTGCCGAGCAGAGTGATGTTCCCGGATCCGTTGATCCTGAGTTCGAATCCCAGATTCATCCTGATTATCATCCTTGTTCTCGGCCAGGGGCCATACCAACATGGTTAATACGTAACCTATCGGGTCCCCACACAGCTGAACTGATATCAAAGCGGCGTAAAGCTCACTCGCCTTCTCTGAAAGAGGAGAGCAATCATGGGTACAGGTACCCCGTATTGATGAGCGTCACCTTCGTCATCTCACCAAATCACGGCAAGATTGTGTCAATATGCCTAAAATGACCAACGGTAAAACAGCATTACAATTCTTCTCTCAAAAACTCGATGATGCCCACATTCCCCTTCTATCTGACTCTGTACGACCGTAACGTAGAAGACAACCAACAAGGTGGAGCCACGTGACATTCACCCCTGCCTTCTCAGCCGTTTGGCAAAGATTGTGCTGTCGTCTCTATAATAATCCCATCCTGCTGACCGAATCAACGTCATAGGTATCCTTCAGACTGACAACCAAAAGTGGCGACACCCGCAAATCAGCTACCTTTTCAGATACCAATTTGGCATCTTCAAAATTGGCTGAGTGAGCTGTTTGATCAACAGGGATAATCCCTCTTGGATACTCTTGGGAGGCAGGAGTATGTAGTCTGGAGTTTGGCGACCCCGAATCTGAAGTTCAAGGGTCAGGAATTTTCAACTTGTAATTATATCTGCCCGGTTTTCTGAGAACCCATACCACTTACCCAAGAAGGAAGCCCAGAACTGAAGGCCCATTTGAGATCGATCAAATTCTTGCTTCTTCTGCCGAATTGCAAAAACATATCACAGTTTTGAAGTGGAGGGTACACCAAGACTTGAGCTTTTAGTGGAGGATGGGTGTTCTCATCTCGTAGGTGTATAGCCAACGAAGATGTTTTCTACCCTCCAGCACTTTCACCTACAAAGTAAGAGGACTAATTTAACTCATTTATTACACTGCTTTATAATAATTACTAATAGATAGTAATGTGACAATCGGACCAGGGAACACGAAAGCCACATAACAAGGAATAATTCCCCAAAGCAATCTTAGCCCTACGAGTATCGGGTACGGGTTTGACAAACATAGAAACATAATCGATGCGAATATGAGATTCGAGCCAACAATCATAGGATTCTGGTACCTAAGGGACACAACTCTGAATTGCGGCGCCTTATACGACTGGGCCACCTGGTTCAGTGGAACGAGATTCAGTTGAAGTTTGTTTACCTCCTACAGCAACTCTGTTCGAGTCGACTTTGAGTTTTCCGCAATTCCTCAGAACATATCTCGTTGCAGCGACAGTCGTCAAAACCAGCTGGAATCACATCTTCTGGTGCCAATTGGTATCCGCGAATAATATTGCCGAACACATCAATTAAAGCACGTGACTTTCAAATACCAAAGGGATTATTTGGATACCTTTGGATAACCTTAAATATGAATATATTCAGATATTATCGATGATATATATTCCCATAACAGTCAAAATGCAAATTGTCTTTCACTAACCTACCCTCCTGAACTATAAACACAAAACCAGTGAAACGGCTGCATCTCTTTCATATTTAGATCTATGCATACAGAGAGAGTGACAAACAACTATCAACAACACTGTCGGCTAAAAGGGATGACTTCAACTTTCCAAAAGTCAACTTTCTCTTTATGTCGAGGAATATTCCATCAGCTCAAGCCTTGGTGTTTACATTTAACAAATGTTTAGGTACAATCGAGCATGCTCTTTCGACGAAGATGTCAAAGAGATCCATACGCCTCTTGCTAAAATAATTTTTGAACGCGCCAGGGTTGCAACTTTCAAGGCCTCAGAAAAGCTTTCAAAAAGTTATAAAAAATGTGACTAACGAGATCGGGTGGTGAGGCTCGCTGACTTGGTTAATGCATGTCATCGTATTCCAATTGCGTAGATCGATGCTCATTATATCAATCACTGGATTATCTGGTCCAGATTAAATTATTTACAGACCGCCCTCGTATAGCTGGAATTCTGCTGAGTGTGGCGTGAAACAACAAACAAACAAACAACTACGATCCATGATTTGACATCGCCATCGTAAAAACGCATGTGAAGGAATTCACTTTATGGAAATTTGCCATCTTAACCCTTGGGCTCAATTTCAGAAAGAGATTATTGCGCTGGTGCCGTAGATGGGAGTTGCG